AAAATTTCAGTATCATAAGGTTTCATTTTTACTATTCTGTTTATATGAAATTTTTAAATGTATTTTATATACATACATACATACATACTATTTATACTAAAAATACAATACAAAAATAATAAGTGAAACAAAATTACTTTAAAACTTTAAAAAAAAAAAATGTTTATATTATAATTCTCTCTCGAAAGAGATATACCTATACTCATATGTATATGTATAACTTCAAATATTTCTATATAATATTATAATATGTACATAATGAAGAGTTCTTGAAAAATGCACAATTGCTAAATACGAATTCCTCACACCAAAACTGTTTACAAAATGAAAATTTGTATACTCAAAGACATAAATTTTTTAAAATACAATTATGCATTTAGTTTCGCAAAAAATACTAAAATCTACCTATAACACTAATAAACTTATTCAAAACACTTAACTGTCTCTTTTTAAATTTATAAAATTAAACATGAGTTGGCTACACCCGTATTGATCTATCCAATGCCAAGTGGAACAAGTCAGTAATATTAGTTTCTCAAACTCAACATTTCTGGAAACTTTGTCATATTTGGTCAAAAATTTAGCTAAATTTTTGGCAGAGATTACTTTTTTTTTTCTTGCCCCTTTGATTCCATTCCAATTTGTTTTTGTATAAATTTTAAATCCAACATTTTTTTCAATTTTTATCTTCTTTTAAATCATTTAACGATCATAAGTATAACATCTCGAGATATATAATGCATATTTTTGAATAGGAAAATAAAAGTTGTCATACAGATGTTATACTTAACTTGCAGTTTGTTAGAAAAGTAAATAAAATACTTTTTCATTTATTAAAAAAGTGTTTTGGAAATGCTCTACTATTTAGACAGTGTGTTTGTTAAATAAGAATTTATTGGCAGAAATGATCGGAAATTTAATCTTATTTTCATTGCTGCCGTCTTTCAACAGTGTTTGAGTTCTAATACACTACTCTCGATTTTTTATTTAAATTGCTGCCGTCTTATCTTATTTCTAACTGAGAACTGCCAATCTGTTCTAAAGATCTGAATTTCCAAAAATACTTTACTTTCCTTTGAATAGGTCGACCTGTAAATTCACCTAAAAAAGTGTACACATATTAAGTAAAAGTAACACTCTTCTTAAAATATAATGTAGATAAACTAAATTTAGTTGATCCTTATAAAATACATTTATACATATAACTACGTATATGAACATATACATAATACAATATTTGAAATTTAAAACATTTGATAAAGGTACATACATATAAAAATTATTAAAATTTTACTAAAATTAAAACCTTAAAACGTGATACTTTTTGTAACAATTATTGTAACAATAATTGAATTTAACGAAAAATTTTAAAAATAATTGTATGTATAAGAATAAAAATACTTAAACAATTAGAACTAATTAAAATAATAAAAAAGAAAACAAATTACTAAAATTAAATTCATTTTTAATACTAAAAAATTAAAAAGTAAATCAAAAAATAAAAAAAAATATTTCTATTATGTAAAATTAAATATTGTTAAGCAAACTAATAAAATAATTATAAAACAAAATGCAAACATAAAAATATGCACACATGTTATGTTAACACATTATAAATACATAATATATTCAATATATTGACATATATTATCATTAATATTATGAAATTATATCCGAAACTCCTAATTAAACCAGTGATTTATTGCACAAAACAATTGGAGTATTGAAAAAACAGTAATTTCTAATTTGATTTCTCACGCCTCTGCAACTTATTTTTGAAAATTTCGAAACTAATTAAGATGACTGCATCTTTACCATTCAAAAATTTACCAGATTTCATGTAGTGGTAAACTTCAAACTCTACATATCTTAACTCTACAAACCCTAACTTTACAACTGTACATCTTAGTAGAAATAGGTGCCTCATTTTTATTAAAGCTATAATCCATTCACCTTTTTTCATTTATGTACTTATATACTAAACTACTAAATTAGGCTACATAATATTATAGAATTATGTAGCTTAATTAATTTGTACATACATATGAAATGGATTGATCTAATTTTAATTGGGTATGTTTAATTTAAGGGTATTCAAATATAACCCGAATTATGTACACCTATATGGCATTTCATTCTATTAGAAGAATATTTGATCTTTCAAAAATTGAAGAACTAATCTGCCAGTTCCTTAGAGCTTAATTATTTTGTAAGGCCGAGAATATAAAATTGGGTACCTGCTAATTCCTAATAAATAATAAAAAATAATAGTATTAATTCTAAATCTATTAAATAATAAGAAATAATAGTTCTAATAAATAAGAAAAAATAGATATTTTCATAATAAGCACCTCATTTATCCAAAAAGTTTACTGCTCGTCGTACTAAAAGAAACGTAAAATCGGCCTGTAGTGTCCAGTTGCTGAGTCCAGAAATACGCCCAAAGTTGATCAATCCATATTTTCAAATTAAACTCAGATATAAATTTGCATCCCCGCAGATACATGATACATACAGATTCAATTTCTGAGCAGAAAGACAAACATGTCAGTAAAAGTTTATTTACATACATTCCCTTAATATGGAAATACGCCTTTCCATCGAAAACTCGGCATCTAAAATTTGATTCTATCATATAAACTCCTTTATAGTTGATAAAGTGGCCGGTATAAAAATGTACTGTTAACGTCCTATAAAAAAAAGTACAGAATGAAGCCTATTATGAAAAAGTTTTAATATTGCTCTAAAATTATCTTTAAGCTTACTCTATCATTTTATTCTTTAATAATACTCCAATATTTATATAAAAAACACTTGATAGTAGAGCTAAATTTTTTCAGAATGTAACTAAAAAAAGTAATGTATTAAAAATAGTTCTTTAAAATTTATATTGGAAGGTTTATAATAATTTGAATAACAAACAAATAAATTGTTACAATAAAAAAACATGTTTCGTATTTTATTTTAGTAGATATTCAGATATTTTTGAAATATAATCAGATATCATTTACAATCGTTCAACTTACCGTGCAAAAAAACTGTTAAAATAATTTTTTGACTTTTAAAAAATAAAAATTGACGAATTTGTTAAAAACAATTTTTGACATCTGGTGAGCAGCACACAAACTATATATTGCTGACATTGAACTGAGCTTTTACAGCTGTCATAGCTCCAAATTAACTTTATTTACAAACATTATTTACATTTACCACAAGTGAACTTTCATATTCTAAATTCAGCCATATAATATCTCCCCGATGACGTTTGATTCTTAAAATATGGTGATTGTCATCAATCATTTAACAGATCTTGTATATTATCAGCCTATGACATTACTTGAATTGTCAAGAAACAGATAATGTGACCAGTAAGCAGTCACATTTGTCACATTAGTTCATAGATATCGTTTACCAGTCAACCGAAATTGTATAATTTAGTTTGAAATGATCAAAATTACAATAACAACAAAACAAATAAAGTTACAAAAAATTTGACCAAATCAAATTCGATTTATATACACTAATTCGAATAGTTTCTTTTATTTAAAAATCGTACATTCTATTTCGTTCTATTTTGTTTGGTTTGTAAAGGCTGCCATAACTGTTTTTTAAATCTTTGGATTACTCTTCAAAAACTACATTTTCTTTTCATTTTTGTCTTTATTTGTGTTTGAAATTTAATTTTGGGTTAGTTTTAAAAATATAAAATAATACCGGTAACAAGTACATTTGAATCAAAAAAAAAGCTTTCTTTGCATTAGCAGGTTCTTTGGATTTTTCTAAATCTCAGTCTGTTTGGTTTTTGTCGCAGTTGTTGAAGTTTTATTTGAAGCGGGCAACATTTGATTTGACAAGCTGTCTTGCAGAAACTCTCTTGAAAACCAACGTAAATTTAAATTCTATCGACAAATTAACATGGTTTTTTCAATTTATGCCTTAAACAAAATAAGGCAGCACTTAAATCGAAACGCACACAATGAAACTGCAACCGCAAACTCGAACGTTAAAATTAGTTTATTTTCAATTTTTGCGGTATTTCTGTCTGTAATATTTTTATTGAATTTGACAGTTTCTCTTATTATATTTTTTTTTGTATTTTATTGTAACATGCTGCAGGTTTATTTCGGTTTATTAAGCGTTGAAGCTAATATTTTTGCGGTAATCAAATTTCTGTGTGAAGTTATCAATATTGTAGATATAGGATTCGTTCCCCTTGTCAAAAGAGCTTTTATAGAAGAAAAATGAAGGCATGTTAGCTATTGTCACAAAAATCGTTGAAGTGAACTATTTCTTAAATATTTGACATGGTGTATGAGATTTGTGCTTTTTGATCAATATTATATCATGTTAGGAATAATTTTACACCAAACAAGCGTTTTAGGTTAATGTTCTTTCAAAATTTACAGATTAAATTTACTAATTGAACCATTAAATTTTTATTGAATATTGCAGATAATATTTTTATCTTTTATATTTAGTTATTTTCAAGCACAAAATAAATTTACAATAAAAAAATCCAAAAACATATCATCACCACGCTATGAATTTAAAATAATGCAGAAACGATATTAGACATGAATTTTAATCAACGAGAAATTTGTTCATCTATTATATTTTTTTCTCTCGCTTTCCAAAAAAACTTAGAAGGTGAAAATTTCAAGTTAAAATTTAATTAAGGATTTTTCTAATATTTTAAGAAAATTATAAAACAATTGATTTTTTTTTTTTCGAAATTAAATTACTTCTTTTATAATTACAATATTCGTTTGCTTTAATTTCTTTTTAATCATAATTTAAGAAACTCTTACAGTTTTGTTTGACACGTTCTATGACACTTTGAAGTTATTTAGAAATTCAATTTCGAACTCATATATCTGACTCTTTCGATTCTCGTTTTTCGAAATGACAATTTTTCGAAAATCAAAAAAATTTTTAAGTTCTGAAAAGTAAAGGAGAGCAAAGTCTACTCTACAGCTATTTTAAAAAGTTGTGAGGTAAGTCATTGTCGTTGCCGCCATCTTCGTTGAATAATATAAGGTTGCTGCACGTTTTTTTTTTTTTTTTGCAAAGAATTTTTTAACATTTTAAGTTTTATTTTAATTTAGTTTGTATTTAAGAAACTTTAAATTGTGAATTAGTAATTGAACTAGTTGTGTTTGTGTATTGAGAAAATCTATTGTGATAAAACTGAAGTAAAAGTAGGAAAAAATAAATATTTCGGTAGAATAAGATTGACGTGTAATTTTAAAAAGCAAAATTGTAAAATTGTTACTTGTATTTTTACTTTTTCTTTTTTTTTTGATATTTCAATTTTTTTTCGTAGAATATTAAAAACAAGTAAAAAAGTAAGTAAAATGTAATACTTTTTTTTTTATTATTAAATATTAAAGTAGAAAGAAAGTTATAAAGAACAATTAATTTAAAACGCACAATAATCCCTAATACTTTTTAAATGCGTATATAATTACAAAAAAAAAAATTCTAATTTGTTTCTAGATCATTGACCTTGTAAATTGCAAATTTTTGTTTTCCTTCTTAATTAAACGTGGCAATGAAATTAGAAATATTTATTTAAACGTATGCATTTTTAATAAATTTATTTTCCTTTTCAAAAGAAAAAATTACATTTGCACATATAGGTGAATAATAAAAAAAAAAAAAAGAAAATGGTGAACATAACCACATGCCCAAGAATTTGTGAGGTTATGTTTAGTTTGCACTTTAAAGGAATTTGTTTTTGGAATTACTTATCCTATTTATTTTATTTAATTCTCAATCATAAATATTAAAAATCCCCAATGTAAAAATTAATTTCAATATTGAACTTTCCAATACAAGATCAATAATAGATAATTTCAATCATGTAACTTTAAAAAAAAAAAAGCAAAAAAAATTTGTTTTCACTTTACAGAGAAATCCAAAAATAGATGAATGTGTCATCAATTCAATTTGTATAGAAAGTTGGCAATGTTTTTAGGTCAAACCTTATAAGTAGCTTTCAAGTTTACTCAATTTTAAATAAATTTCAATAATTGAATATGAAATTTATGTTAAAAAGAATTAATTAATCTAAGACTGCAGTCTTAATATTATATCAGTGTATTAATAATACCGAAACGTTATGTGAATTTTGAGAAACTGATAAAATCGATGAAGATATTACTAACTACTTGTTTTTGTTGAATGTCGTATATTATGTAGGTCCTACCTATACTTCAAATATAATTCAATATCACATCAATGACTTAATCAAAAGCAATAAAATTTGACGTAGATATGATTTAATCGCCATTTTCCACCATTCTATTGAACTACATACATTTTTTTATGAATGAATTTTAGATTACCTACTTATCACCTAATTACATACCTATATAATTTTTGATTTTTAAAGAAAATTTTACTTATAATATATAGATATGTAAGCTATAATAGTTTGAAATTATAATTTAATTTTATTCACACTAAAATAAAACAATATTTTTAGAGTCACAATTCTCAATAAAACAATATTTTTAGAAAGGGAAATCTTGGCGCATTTTTATTTCTATTTCTTCTAAATTTCAACAAAACTGTATGGTGTTTTTTTTTATTACAAACTGTTTAATTTTATCTACTCACCCATTTTGCTGGAAATGATTTGTCCAGGCTGTTTTTAAATATAATCAAACTTAATTTATTTAATTTGTGCTTGGATACAATAGTTACTTACCTTATTTTTTTTTTATTTTCTTTTTAAATTTCGATCATAATTTTGCTACGTTAAATTTATTTTTTAAAGATCACTTATTTATCCATTTAATTTTGTTAAAAAATTTTATTTATTTGTATTAAATTTCAGCAATTTATTGTATGAGTCAAAAAATCGAAAGGCCAGTGCTATCAGGTCAACGCATCAAGACCAGAAAAAGAGGTATGTAAAACATAAAATCGTTCTACTTTGTTTTTGGAACATTAATTTATTTTACCAACAATTCCAATAGATTTTAGGAAATAATATTAATAACCCGATACTTAAAACTTATTTAAAATCTATCATAAAAAATACGTATCTATCTACATCCATTATATTGATATAAAAAAACTTGTATTATTGCTCCATAAAATATGTACGTTTTAAAACTATGTAGGCCTACCAAACTTACCCATTTATCTAGTTACTTTACTATAATTAAACAAAAACTAAAGATATAGGCTCTTTAATACTTAGTTTAACAATATGGGTTCTTTTTTAAATATTGCTATCTTAAATTTATTTTTAAGAATGCTTTGTTAAGTTTTTTTCTCCGCTTTTATATTTGCACCTTATTAGAGCCATTTTATTTTAAACTGCATGAGGTAAAATGGTGTCGTCTGTGTGCGATATTAAACGTAAAATCAAATTTATTATATTTTATCGAACAAAAAATATAAAAAATTAAAATGATTTTCCAACATTTTAAAATATTGCAAGTATGTATTAATAAAAATAAGTAGATAATAAAAAAAAATTTTCAAGAAGCTGCAAAAAGAAGTCCAAAATTAAGGTTCAGTTTTAGGTAAAAATTTGTGAAAATGCAAAACATGAAAGTTTATACAAAAATATTATTGAAAACGTACCAAGCTTAATAAAAATAACACTTTTTTTTCAACTGAAACTTATAATTTAATAAATTAGATGATGAAAGATTTACAGGCTCTAGAAGAATTGCTTAATTTTTGAAAATATGTTAGAAATTAGAATTTCAATTTAAAAAAATTAAAAAACTCACATACATCACAAAATTGCAAATAAAACACAAACTTCACTTATCCAGTCACTATTATTTTTGATTAAGCATACCTACTTACATGTAGTCGGTAATATAGAAGAGTGACGAAATTAACATTGTGTATATTTTGAAATGGGTTTTTCTCGAAACACAAAAAAACCAGTTTAATGACTTTTCCATAATACCAACGATGTTAATACTTTCCTTTCAATGACTACAATAAAAAAGTTACTAAAATGTAGTTAAAATTTACTTAAGCCAATTTGTGCGTGTTTTTATTCTTTGTGTCATATTTGAGGTAATATAGTTGATCAATAATCAAATATTCAAAGATATAATATCCAGAAATTCCTTAAAACAAAATATAAATAATTTTTTCAATTTCTTTAACAAATAAAAATTTATTAAATGTTTACAATTAGATTTTTTTTTTACAAATTTTCCTTTTCCATTCTGCCACACATTATATGCTTATCAATACATTATAGATGTGCTAAGGAGAAGGTAGATTAAATTATAAGTAATCTTGGATGGAAGCCAATTATTTAATTTTAAAATGAATTCTTGGTGCCGAAGAAAAGATACATCAAATCTTACTTTTCACAATGTTATTTTACAATATACAAAAAAACGTTAATATTATGTATTTTAGTACCTACCTACACAATATCAAATAATGTATTTGAAAGTTCAAAGTGAATATGACATACATATTTGGCATATTCTTATATGACATGACTCGGCATCTTAACATTACGTCGTTTTTTCGAAAAAACATCATGATCTCGAGACTAGTTCAAAATAAAATATTATAAAACACAAGAAATTTGAATTATTTGTTTAATTTAGACTGAGTAGCTATGCACATATTTATACATATATTTCTAGGGTTCGTCATCACATTTGCCTTTTTGTCATTTCGAATTAAACATCGTTGAAATTTTTTTTATATTATATTTGCTTTACTAAAACATTAACTAGTGAAAATTTAGTGACAATGGTTTAAAAAGTTATCATTTTAAAATGTTGCTACCAAATATTACCTAGTATTAAAATTTTAACATATTTTTCTATATTAAATAAGATATACACTTTTTCCAATTGTAATTAATATCTATCAGAGTTGAATAAGTTCACTTGTTTAGTTTTAAATGTTTTTAAACGTGCACTTTAGTTGTATGAAAATAACAAACATGAACATTTAAATATGAAGACATTAATCTAATTTTGTCAGAAAAAGTTTTGTTACTTCAGGGATTTTCTTTTTAAAGCTACTGAAAAATTAAATTTTTTGTTGTTGCATTAGAAGACGCTTAAAATTTTAAGTAATATTGCATTCATTACTTTTTTTTGTCAAAAATGTAGATATGTTCTCATAGAATACCCTAGATTTGTAATTTAGTTTTAGAATCACCAAATGGAAAATAATTTCTAATAATTAAAAATACAATTAAAATTTTTACTGTTTTAGAATTCGCACCTTATTAGAGCCATTTTATTTTAAATTGCATGAGGAATGGTGTCGTCTGTGTGCGATATTAAACGAAATTTCAGAAATATTTCTTTTACTCACAAAAATGTGAAAGAATAAAATGAAATTAGAACATTTAGGTATATTGAAAAATTAAGTCTTCATTTTAATAATTTACAAAAATTTTTTAAAAATTTCTTTTACCTTCCATGTGGAAAAAAATATGCAAGTTAATGTACGTATATATATTTTGATTTTTTTTAAACAATTTTTTTTCTAAAAATACGTTTGTTCTATAGATATAAATATTCCATATTTTGAATTACAAAAAAAAAAATACTTTGTGTTCATCTGTGTTCTAAATATTTCTAGAACTAAGAAAAAATACAGAACATTTTTCTCTTTTCAATAAAAAAAATATCAAGGTTAAGAATATAAAAAAAAAAAATCATAAAAAATTTGTTTTGATAAAATTACCTTTATTATTGTTACGTGTTTTTGATAGTAAACAAGAAACAAAATAAAAAGTATAGAAATATTTTTTGTTTTCAAAATAAATAATTTTGTAAATAATATTTTTTTTTAATATAGATGAAAAAGAGAAATACGACCCCACGGGATTCCGTGACGCGGTTATTGCTGGTCTCGAAAAAACTGAAGGTGACTTGGAAGCTATCTCAAGATTTTTAGACACTGCTGGAAATAAATTAGATTATCGCCGTTACGGTGAAGTTCTATTTGACATATTAATAGCTGGTGGTCTTCTCGGTATGTGAAACTTTCTTAACAAGTTTGTTATAAATAAGCAAAAATCTAATAATTTTTATAACTTTAATTACAGTTCCAGGAGGTTCTATATCTCAAGATGGCGAGAAACCAAAAACAAATAATTGTATTTTTGAAGCATCCGAGGACATGGAGGCCATGCATGCCCACGAACAAGTAAGATATTAATTGAAACATTGTATAAAATAAAATTTCTCCTATAGGAATAACATCATTTAAGAATTTGTTGCAAAAATAATGTGCACTCACTAGAGCCATTTTAATTTGAATGTTTCAAAGAATGGTGTTCATTGTGTGCTATAGTAAAATGTATTTTACTAAAATAATATTTTCCATACCTTCTAATGGAAAAAGTAGTGAAATATAAACAATAATAAAACTATTTCTAATTGTAAAACAATAATTCTGATATTTAAAAAGAAATATCTAAATTCTAAATTTTCAAATGTCTTAAATTAGCTAATTTAAATTAGAAATAATTCCATTTTTTAACTTCAAATTAAATATAATTATCAATTATTTTATAAATGCATAAAATTATGTATTAGATATCACGATTAGGTTCATTTTCCGTTAATTAAAAAATTAATTTAGCTTTCAAGCTAAGTATTTAAAGCTTTATAAAGCAAATTCTTTCTCTATAAATAATGGAAGGTTGAAAAGCCCTGTTGTGACTGATTTTCAGTTTCTTGAATTAACGTATTGTATTTTTTCCTGCCGTATACTCCCGATATAATTTAATTTTTAATTTTTTTTGTATACAAAACAAGCATTTTCTTTTAATTTGTCCTTTGTCAATAGTTACATTTTCTCACGATTCCATACATAAATTCTCTCTGAGTTAAAATATATTTTTTGATGGCATTCTTCAGCATTAAAAACGTCCGTAAACGACATGATTTTACAAAAATTTAAAATTTCGGTACCGTTATTGATATATAACGCAGAACATAACACCTCCAACATTGATCCTTGTTGCCTTTTCTCACAACAATATATAATTTTCCGCTTTGTTCTTTCTAAATCCTAAAATATATTATTGACATTAATGCACTTCTACAATTGCAAGTTAACAACTTTTTACAACACTTTTGTTATAAGGTATTCATACTAATAGGTCTAAATTACTTTGTGCTTTGGGATTTAAGTTTAGGGACTAATTTCAAACTGCTTTTTTTTCTAGATTGATGATGACACCTTTTATTGTAATGATAATGATTTTGAAGATTTCTAATAATATTTTGGTATTTAAGCACAAATAGTTAATATCTTGCTATTAAGCCACATAGTCAATTTTTAATCTTAGCTTGAAATAATTACTCCTTTCCACAATTAAGTTGTAATACTGTACATATGATATATTTTCGTTAATAGTTTGCATGCTTTCAATAAAATTTTCATTTTCTAAAATGTTAAGATATTTTGATTTATACATTTGATTCTAAGTGAACTTGCTAAGATTTTGAAAAATATTTTTTTTATTATTAAAATTATTAAACAAAATTTATTAATAAAACATTTAAAAAAATTAGGTATTCATCAAGCTTATGCGTAGATATAAGTACTTGGAGAAGATGTTTGAAGAAGAGATGAAAAAGGTGTTGGTATTTATTAAGGGATTCACTCCAAGTGAAAGAGTTAAACTTGCTCGTATGACTGCACTTTGGATAGGTAATTATTAATTATTATGAAAATCTAGTTTTCCAGTACACCACACAAATAAAGTTTTCAATTTTTATTTAAAACTAAAATTGAAAAAATATGTTGTGTTGGAAAATCAAACCATTGTTAAGGCGTACTGACTTTAAAATAAAAGTATTACCAAATTTTAAAGCCATTGAACCTTGAACATTTGATTCAGTAATGGTTGTTGCCATCGAACTAATATCCAAAATTATTAAAAAAGAACATATGCTATAAGATGTTTGGTTTAAAAAAAAGACTAATTGTGATCGTAGCCATTCAAATAAATAGTCATTCTAATTTTGGTGGTAACGCAAATCTTAGAATATATTAAAAGTAAAAAAAAATAATTATAAATCATAATAAAAGCCTTATGTAGTAAACTAAAAGTACTGACATATTAATTTTTAATTAATGAAATTTTTGTTGTTTTAGGAAATAATTCTGTGCCACCAACTGTTTTACTAGTACTGAGTAATGAGCATCTCATTAAGGATGGTATTGCACTCGAATTCTTAGTTGAATTATTTGTGACGTATAAGCAAGAAAAAGGCCTTTCATCATTGGTGCAAACATTGAAAAAAGGCGGATTGGAAAGCAAGTAAGTAGTTTTATTTTGAGAAAAAAAAAACATGTTTTTTACTTCATTTTAAATAAGACACTTAACCTTTTTTTAAAAAATGGCGAAATACCTATATATCTGAGCACAGAATTAGAGCCATTTTTGCTCTGTATATAGTCAAATGGTGTGGAAACTGTGCTATACTAAATGCAATTTAATTTTCGAAAATGTTTTCAATTTTAACAGAATTCATTAAAATATATTTGCGATACAATTACGTAATTCAATCTATTAAGAAATTTTTAAGCATCTATAGGTTCTCTTACAAGAAATTATAATATTTTAAGGGGGTTATTCAGGTGCAAGATCAAAAATATAGCTTCGTTTGACTCTTTATATGTTCAATTTATTTTCATATTTCGAGATAGAAAGCTTTAACAATAAAATCTTTTTTAAGTAATTTTAAATACATATAATTTAATTTGTTTAAATTGAACTGCATCAAGGATTTCGCTAGGTAGTTTTTTTATACCTTAGCGTGTGAGTACTGATGCGATATAAACTTTAATGTCTTGAATGGAAGCCTGTAATCATTTGAAATTATTGATTTCAGGTGCCGAAGAAAAGATATAAAATAAAAATTTAATGAATTTTAAATTTCTCAAAACATATAAGATATAAAAATTCTAAGCATCAAGGATTTCGACAGGTATTTTTATATTTATACTCTGCCGTGTGAATAGTGATGCAATATGAAAAATAATGTCTCGAATGGAAGCCTATGATCACTTACGATTGATTGTGGGTGCCGAATAAAAGATACATTTGTCGAATTTCCTTGGGTTTTGTTCAATTAGATTTGCGATAGAAAGAGCCTCTTGTCAAACACTGCATTTTATGTTTTAATTTTTATACAAATTTAAAAATTTGAAAAATTTTGTAGTCAGTCCACGACTTGTGTTAATGTTTTATAATACAGAGGCTAGACCCTAAAAGATCAAATGGAAGGTCCTAATATTATATAAAATAAATTTGCGATTTAAAAAATAAATAACAGCATCTTTTGGCTCTCACTGAAAGAAATTACTTTCTTTGTTTGGTAAAAAAGATGCAAAATAAAAAATAAATTAGTTGTACGCATCAAAGCCTTTATTAATTATTTTTTAATGTCTTTGTATATAAACTAATACAGATTTCAAAACAAGTTTTTAAGATGAAGATTAAATATTTAATTTTTGTAAAAATGGCGAGTTTATATAAACAAATTTTTCATTTTGTTTTTTCAGATTAATGGAATTTTTCCCACCAAACAAACGAACTGAAGAATATTTCAAACAGGTTTTTCTTGAGAAAGGACTTACTGAAATAGTTAAATTACATAAAGCGCAGGCCAGTCAAGAGGCCAAACGTGAACTACAAACGGTAATTTAATTTTTTTTAATTATAAATATTTAAGTGTTTTAGTTTTTTGAAACTGCGTTTTTGAAAACTTGTTTGTCTTCAATTATGAATGGCATCTAAGTTGTACAGAGCGCTAAATAAACCTAAGCCTTAAATCATCCTAAAATGAAAAAAACATTTTATGATATGAAAATATTGAGTATCTTAGAACAATTAAATAATTAATAAAAGAAATTTTTAAAATATGTGTATTTTTGTTTTTATTTTTGTATTTAGGCTTTGCTTGACGATATACGTGACAACAAATCACACAAAGAAGTCACAGCTAACATTAAGGAATTGGCTCAAAAATCAAACATTCCTGAACATGAAATTATTTGTCTTGTAAGTAAATTGCGTTGATACGAGTATTAAATTCAATTAATTATTTTATGTATTTGGTACGCAGAATGCCCAGTCATTGACTCAATTAGTTTTAGAAAATTTAATTAGTTATTTCAACATTTATTGTTTGATTTAATTTACACATATTGAAATATGAGCAAGTTATTTTGAATATTACATATGTATCTACTAATCAGGAGAAATTCAGGACAAAATCAATGTTAAACGTTGATTTTTTTAATACTTTCTCCTAAAGCAATTTGAAAATTTTAATATTTTTTTCAATTAAATTCGATTTTAGTTGGAGTTCTGTTTAGAATTTTTACATTAAAAAAAATCGTAGATAAATACTAATTTATTATGAAACTGATTTTTTTTTTTTTTCATTAAAATTAAAAAAAAAAATATAATTAAATTAATAGTTAATTTTTTATTTAGATTTGGTCAACGGTAATGTCTTTAGGTGAATGGAATAAAAAAGAGGAACTTGTGACTGATCAAGCTGTTAAACATTTGAAAGGTTACTGCCAATTATTACAGGCTTTTGCAACTACAGATCGATCTGAAACCGCTTTGATATTAAAAGTTCAGGAATTTTGTTATGAAAATATGAACTTTTTGAAAGCTTTTCAAAAAATCATTCTTTTGTTATATAGAAGTAAAAAAATTCTAAAATCTTATAAAAATTATATTTTAAAAATTATAATTTATATTGTAGCTGAAGTTTTATCAGAAGAAACTATTTTAAGATGGTATAAAGAACCACAATCATCAAAAGGCAAAATACATTTCTTAGAACAAATGAAAAAGTTTATTGAATGGTTACAAAATGCTGAAGAAGGTAATTTTTTTAAATTAACTTAAATTAAATTTCTTATAAACATTTCCTCTTCCATTCTGCCACACATTATATGGTTATCAATACATTATAGATGTGCTAAGGAGGAGGTAGATTAAATTATAAGTAATCTTGGATGGAAGCCAATTATTTAATTTTAAAATGAATTTTTGGTGCCGAAGAAAAGATACATCAAATCTTACTTTTCACAATGTTATTTTACAATAATATAAACAAAAGTTTATATTGTCTATTTTAATACACACATATTAACATGAAATATGTTAATAATAAACTTTGCATCTCGGATCTCCATAGTTTACGTCAAAGTGTATTTATGGTAGAATGAAAATTATGATGCGATATGAAAGATAAGATTTTGCTTACCTGATTTTCTTAAATTTATGTAGAATATAAGGTCAATAATATCTTCAACACGTAAAAACTTATTTTAATTTGAAATTTCTATTTTGATTATAAAACATTGTGAAAAATTTCATTTCAAGTCATAATTGCCATTATTACTTCAAAATTTTATTACTTTACATATAATGTATTTTAAATGTTAAAAAATTCGAATTCTATTAATCAAACTATTGCTTATAATCGACGGATTAAGCAGAAGCAAAAGAAATTGTTAAAAAAGTGGATTATTTTTAAAATTTTATTAGAGTTTAAATATAATCAATACAATTAAAAAAACACTTCTTTTTCTAACATCCGATTTTTATTTTTTTATTATAGAGTCTGAATCTGAAGAAGAAGATTAAACCTTTATCAACTTAAAATAAGAGATCACAAATTGAGACGTGCTGCAACCTTTGATTTAAAAAAAAAAATTAAAATCAAGATACATACATAATTATAAAACATAAAACCAATTTTAGAATTTTTTTTTTTTTTTTTTGAAAAATGAACGATAAATACTTGAAGAAAATTATAATTTTTGAAAAACAAAATTTATATAAACCTTTTTTTATAAAATCTGAAAAATAAAATGAAAACACAAAATACTATCAGATATTTATTATTTTTTGTTTAATTTAAGAAATAATAATAAAGGAAATATACTATAATTTCAATATGAAAAATAAATAGATAATACGCGCATTATAAGTTCTACTATGCAGTAACTACGAATTTTTACTAGTTGAATAATATCAGATTTTTAAAATTTTATTATATTAATGTAAAATATATAAATTACAAATGAAACTTAAATTCAACATAAAATGAACGCAATTTATTTGCCAAAATTTTTCGTTTAAGTAGATTTAAAAATAAAAATGAGCATTACAAAAAAAAATAAATTGTTACACAAAAAAAAATAAATAAAATATGCCTCCCTTTATACAGTGGACGTGGGCGAATCTACCAAAATGAAAATCTAACGACAATTTTAACTTATTCGGCAATTGAATTTGTATTGCTGAATAAATTAAATTGACGTTAGATCTGAACTTTGGAAATACCTAAATATTGTCCCAAAAACAATTTAGAAACAAAAGTAAGACAAGAAAACACATTATAAAATTTATTATATAGAGTTCGTTATCATCATTCAATGTAAAATATTAAAAATTACTTGCATATAAAAAAGAAAAATAATTAAATTAAACTAAGAATTCGTATTATGTATTCTATAAAACACAATATATACCATATATATATATATATATATTCATGTGTATGTATGAAACAATTAGTAATAAAAATTAAAGGTATAGGCACACATAATTTTAATATTTGTGCTAATATAATATTGTTACATACATTATTATAAAAAATATACACGACATAATTATATTCATAGAGAGATTTCACTTAAATCGGAACAAAAATCATTTAATTATACAAGAACATTATCAAAATATGTATAAATAGAAAAAGTCTTTAATAAAGTAACTAAGATTATTGTATTAAAAAAAAAAAGAAAAATAAAATTTATATAAATTGAAAATAATATTTCAAAATATCTACATATTTACATAGATTTTAAATAAAACATCTTTTTGTTTCTTTTTTTAAATATTAAAAAAAAAAAAAATAAAAAAATATGAAAATTATTAAAATATAAAATATAAAACCAATGTATTACTCTTGCTAAAAGAAAAAGAATTAAAAGAAATAATTGTAACTTACAAAACGAAGAAAAAAATAAAGAAAAACCTAAAATGAAACTATATAAATAAAGACTAAAAAGAAACTAAAAAAATTTTTTCAGTTCCCTAAAGATCCAGTATTTTTTCTATAGCATATAATAAAAAGGGGGTTTCCGTTTATGCACGCTGCGCTGAAAGTTCTACATTAGAACTAAAATTTCTAAGCCGCAGCGTTAAACAGTATACAAAAACTTCAGTTAAATTTAAAATAAAAAGTTTACGGAGTCTACAAATTCTGAAATTCATAAATAATATTAGTTGTTTAAAAATAACAGAAATGACATTGTTTATGAAATAGTACCGCAATACTATTCGCCCTCCAATTCACTGCAAAATATGGAAATTTTAACAAGATTTGAAGACTTAAAAAAACTTACTTTAATAATCTTTCAATATCTGAATCTGCCATTTTGAAATTTAAAATTTTTTTGAATTTTAACTTTGAAAAAAAATAAAAGAAGTTTCAGGAGGTAGCGACAAAATTTAAACTAGGGGTCTGCTCTACATTTCTGACATTTTTTTTTATTACAGCCAGTCATTTCCAAACGATTTATATTTTTGCAGTGTATGTATGTTTCGGGAATTTTCGAACGTATTACAAGCTAGGACTAGAAAAACACCCATATACTCGTTTTCAAGCTGCAGACTGTTAAAAAAATTTTTTTATTTTTACAACTAATCATATTTGACATTTAGTTGTCGAGTAAAAGCTAAACAAAGCGAGAATTTTTGATTTTTTTTGAAATTATTTTTTTAAAAAACATTAAATTTCTCCATACAATATTTTCTTCAGTTTCTCACAGTTTTGCTCATATAACGTTCAATGTATGTACATACTTGAAATGTATTTAAAATTATAGCGGCGAACTAATTTTTAATTATACATACATATATAATATGCTTTATGTATTGTAGATACATTGTATGTATGTATTGAAAACCTTAATTTATTGCAGTCCAATTTTGAAATTAATATAATGTAGTATAAAAGTATTATAACAATAAAACAAATCTATTCAAACGATTATTAACTTATAAAATATTGTAAAATATTGCTAGAACCAGAAGAGCATATTGAGTCGAAAACTTTAAAATTCGATTTTTCAAATAAACAAGTTTTGAGTTATTTCAATGTTGCCTCAACAAGCGATATCAGATAATAATTTTTTATACTTTAGTAGAGTATGTATGGTACTCGTATTGTATGGGAGTCGGATTTTCCGTGAATGCTTACAAATTAAAAAATTTTTTTTTTTTTTTTAGTTTGAATATATATTTTTTGTTTATTTGTTCTTTCACTTCAATAAACATTATTTTGATTGTTTCTACTAAAAATTTTTTAAGCTTTTTTGATGTTTTGCTTTTACTTCATTATATTTATTAACTTAGATGTAGTATATATGTATATATAGATATGTAAATACATATATACATATTTTTTTTCTTTATTTTTAAATTCTTTTTCTTTAATTCTATATTAATTGAAATATATATATTTATTGCAATTATTTTGTTATATATTATTGTTATAATTATACTAAAAAAATCTATGAATCTAAAAAATGAAAAGAGTTAAGCGTTTTGTAATAAACAGAACGTTTTATAAAATTTGGGAATTTGAAAAAATAAAAAAATAAATTAAATTTTTTTTTTTACGATTTTTTTCAGAATATTTTCAGATATACGTAAGTATAGGATTTCTTTTTTCTAATTTGATGTTCGCAATCGAATTGATTAAATTAATTTGAATTGTTTTCAATCTTCCTAATATTTTATACCAAATTTAATCCAATAATCTTCTTTTTAAAATTTTAACGTTTTTAAAAAAAACTTTTTTAGATTCTTATAATTATTTCTTTTTTAATTGGTAGTTATTTAAAATTTTGATATTTCTAATAATTTATGTCTAAACTTTTGTAGTATTTTAACCTTAATTTTTTCTCTTTTTGTTGTTTTAAAAATTTTGAAATAATTTATTTAATTCTTAATATTTCTCATATTGTTTATCTCTTGAAGAGTATGACTTTGATCTTGATCTTGATCGAGTATTTTCTCGTCTAGAATGTGATCTTTTATGATTGCTACTTGTTGAATAATAATAATCTTTTTTATCAACTCTATGACTACTACTTCGACTGCTACTGCTATTTGTATGGTGTCGTCGTCTTCGAGATCTATAATAATCATCAGAATCAGGTGAATTATCATATTGTCGCCTATGTCTTCTATAATCATCATCATCATCATCAAAATGATAATGACGATGATAATGAGAACGACTATGATTATATTCAGCTGAATCTAAACGATCATTTAAATCTCGATTATTTTTATAAGATTTTTCTTCTGTTTTTTTATCAAAATCATGAGATGTTTCTCTTGATTTTGATCTCTTTTTATCTTTTTTATTAAATTTTTTATATTCTGAAGTTTTTGAAGAATTTGATGAATTTGATGAAGATGAAGTAGTTTTACTACTATGACTGCTTCGACTACTTTTATTTTCACTGTTATTACTTGATGTTGAAGAAATAGTACTTCGACTTCTAGATCTACTGCGAGAATTTTTGCTACGTTTATTTTTTCTATTAGATGATGAAGACGATTTTAATTTCTTTTTATCATTTTTAAGGAAAGCTTCTGATAGAACTGCATTTGCCATTAAAAAATTTTCAGCAGCAGCCGAATTAGTTAAAATATGCGCTGAAGGATTTAATAATGGTGATTGTTGGTGTTGTATCAATTTCGAAGTTGTCGATGTAGCTGAATTCAATAAATTCGTTGAACTTAATGTGTTACCAGATGTTGGTAATAAATATCCAGTGGAAGAAGAAGAAGTGGATGACGTAGATTTATTTTTTGATTCTTTATTATCACTGAATCTGGAAGTTCTTTCTTTCAGACGTTTTTGGCCTAATTTTAAAAAAATTTAATAATATTAGTTTTTTTCTGTTTATATTCGTTACGAAACATTACCTGTAATGAAAAAATCTATAAAAAAATTTTAGTACAAAAATGTTTTTATGTTATTAAAAAAAAGTTTAGGAAAATAATTATTGAAATTGAATGAACAGAAATTAATGTTAAAATATAATTAGTTTTGAATATAAATTTTAAGCAAAAATTTCTTTTTTATTCAATTCAATAAAAGAATATGACGTATCTTATATCGTACTAAAACATAATTAAATTTATCTTAATGTACAACATATTCTAACATAAATTCCCACGAAAGAATGTAACTAAGAAAATGTACTTTACGAAATTATTTTATCTTTGATTATCCGATATTTGCAGATGAAACAAATTCTTTTTAACTTAAATATAAATATTGAATTTCCATACTTAAAAAAAATGGTGAATGGTGAATTTGAAATTTTATTTTGTTAAATTTAAATTCTGCAATTTAGCTTTAATTATTAAAATGTACTCAAAATTATCTCTTAAAGTAGTCAAATTTTTGATAATTTACAGAAGAGAATTGGTTTTTGAATAAGTTGACGTAATATTTTTGTAAGAACGCCGTTCTTTTCATCTCTGCAATGCAGTTTTTTCTATTTTTAATTTTTGAAATTAAATAATGTCTTCTATAAGACAAAAAAATTATATTTACATATTTGAAAACCTTTATAAAAATTTGTTTTTTTAATTTAAATATTGTAACTTTCTGTTAGTTCATTTTGTTATTTATTAGTTTTGACACATAAGAAAAAAGTTTTCGTTTTTTTTTTTTCATAAAATAGTGCATTTAAAAAGGCTTTTAAGAATGCACTTGTTAATGCACTTTCCCCATCCCCAATTTTTTAATTCAATTTTAATATTGGTTTTATTGTTGATCTCAACTCATAGTTATTTTTCACAATATTTTCATATTTTTTTTTTTTTTATTTTTATAAAATTTTAAAACGCACCATTAGATGAATATGACTTTTTATCATGTTGTGTCTCACCAAAATCCCTATCGTAATTGTTTCTTCTTAATTGTCCACCATTACCATCGACCCCACTTGAATTACCAACAAAATTACCACTATTACCACTACTTGATGAATGTTCGATATCATTATCACCACTTTGTAATAGCAATCTTTCACTTGACCGTTCTAATTGTTCACGTCTCAAACGCTCTTGACGAATTTCTTCTTGCCTTGCTTCTTCTTTTTCAACTAAAATATCAATTTCACGTGCAATTGCTTTGAATGAACGCTGTCGACTTAACATTGTTTCCTATATTTTTATAAGTTTTTGTTTTGTTTTCATGTAAAAATTATTTATTTTTGAAAATTCAATTATATGTAGGTAAGAAACCAAAACAAAAAAAAAAAAAATAGCGAATGGAAAAAAAGATATATAAAATGAGGAACAAAATTTTCTACATATATATATATTTGTTTATAATACGTACTCTTAACTCATCTTCTGAATCTTTATCGCAATCCTTATCATCTTTTTTTGTAGTTTCATCTTCGGTATCTGAATCGGTATCAGAATCACTGTCATATGCCCCTAAACCTTTAAAAATTAAAGAAAATTTTGTGCAATTTTCTTCATATAAAGGTATCATGTTAAAAAAAAAAAAACGATAAAAGGAATAATCGAAGAAATATTGCAACGGCAAAATATCATGCTAATTTTCAATTATATAAGAAAATTTACTCATGAATATCAAAATTATAAATTTTTTTTTGGATATTTACATTTGAACAAATGAATTAAAAAAAAAAAATGAATTAGAGATTTCAAAAAAATCTTTATAAAGAATAGATAGATAGTGATCAATATTGTAGCACATAAATAATAAACTACGAGTTTAATATTATCGGCTGAAATTCTAAAGCACCTGAGAACATTTTAAGAACATGTAAAACATCGTGATTTTCTTGTTTTGAAATAAATTATGCATAATTGCATACACTCAAACCTGTGCTATTGTTTTTTTAACTTCCGCACTAATTTGAATTAGAATTTCTTTTCAATAAATTCCTATCTCTTTTTCATTCATGCAGAAGTACTTGCAAAATTTAAGGACCTGCATACGTATAATAAAATATGTATTACACAAAATACGTAACGTTACGTTAGAAAAATATACACAACCTCAAGGTGTATAATAACTAATCCCACATAAGAAAATTTCTAAAATTTCGATTAAAATTTTACAAATCAAACTGGACATATTCAAAGCAAAAAAGACAATACATACTTGATATTAATGAACATAATATTAATAACAATCTGTGCTATGTATATTTAGATATAAGAACAACAAAATATATAAGAATGACAAAATGTTAGAATGGCCTTTCAACAGGAATTTATGAACTATGGCTCCGTTCATCAATTATTGCAATATTATATTCTTATAAAAATCTTAACAATAACAAAAAATATCAAATAGCAAAATCAATCCATAATATTGTGATTGAATGCGTTAGGAACGCGATCATACTATTCAAATATTTTTGAATATAAAAAAAAAAAATGTTCCGAATCAAATCAAGTTTGATCGTGGCAAAGGAAAAATTCTTTTTCTCGTTATTTATTTCGCTTGTAAATCAATAAAATTGAAAATCCTTGAAAAAAGAATTAACTTCTTAGACTTGAATTTTTCAATGTTTTCCTTATAATTTTGCTACAAACATAAATCATCACATTATATAGCAAATTATGATTTTAATTATAATGATAAATTAAACACAGTATTTTTTAATACTTCTTGAAAAAAATTCTATGCTTTCATAATAAAATACATATGTATTTCCAAAATGGTTTCAAAACTAATATAAAAAAGTAAATGAAATGTTCTAATAATAACATTAATAAATTAAAACATTAAACTTACCTAAATTACCGCTTATAGAAGTAAGGGCGCTTTTACGTATAACTTGAGCTGATGATGCTTTATTTTAATAATAAATACAAATATAATATATTTCAAAAATAATATAGATAATTAAAAATTAAAATTCAGAAAAGAAAATAAATAATTTTCACTTTCAATCAATTATTGTCTTCCGTAGTATTTCATCTTAATATTGTAATAAGATGAATATCGAGCAATAACAAATTTAATGTTATTATAAATAATTATATAATTATTTTTCTTATTTCAATTTCTGCAATAAAAGAAAAAAAAATATTTGCTTTCAAATTATCTACCTTTTAACTTATGCCTTTTAAATGTTTCTTGGGCTATATTACGTATTTCGTCATTTGTTATTTCCAATAAAATTTCAGTTAAAGATCGTCTTACTACAAGCATCTAAAATTAAGTTTTTAAATTTATTATACGATACCTTAAATTACAAGCTTAAAAATTTATTTTGAAAAAATTACAATTCATACACTTCATGTTAGAAATAGGGTTTAATAGAAATAAAAGAATTCTTCGGCATACATGCACATACAACTACGCATAGTGCATAGTTCTACAACATAAGCAATTATCACTACTTATTTTGGGAAAACAAATACATATAGCAAGTTATTTATTAAATTTTCATTTGTATGAAGAATCTTTCGGCTTATTCAATTTATTTGAATAAAATTTTGGGAATCGCCAATTTTCACGTGGCAAATTGTAAGAACTTAAATACATATTTTATTAGAATGTAAAAACTTAGATATATGTTAAGTTACAACAACTGTTTTAAACAGATATTATTCAAGTATTTTTTTTTAAATAATGGCTAGTAATTACAAATGTTTTTAGTACTTATATTATCTAATAGACCGTTCATTATTAATTCTTAATTGAGTAAAATAAAATTAAGTCTCTCAGCAAATAGATTAATTTTTTACATCATAACTGTAACGCAAAATTAATAAATCAGTTTTTCTTTCATAAAAAAATTTAATTCAGTTTATAAACCTCAGTATTGCAATATAGCATGCATTTGTTAAAATTCATTGTGTTTTGATTACATAATTTTCAAATCATAAAATCATATTGCACAAATTAATAAAATGTAATTTAAATACATATTTACCATCTCTTCTTCTATTTCTTCGCGAGTTTTACCATGCCATGGATTAACTTTAGTGGAAGAATCTTTATAGTTTATCTTTTCAGATTCAGATTCGTTATCTGATTTTTCACTATCATCCTAAAATAAATTTTTATTTTTTTTTTAAATAAATTCATTTTCCATAATCTTGCAAAGGTTTTTCATGAGTTCAATTTTTTCATTACCGAGCTTAGTGCACTATTCTTTAGAAAACCTTTATAGTTACTAGAATTTTTATTAGCCTTATTACTACCTATTCCATCGGATTTGTCAATTGCCTGTAAATTTTCAATAAAACTTTGGTTATCATATTTATTACTATCCTTGTCCGGGATTTCTGATGCTTTTTCCTTCTCTAATTGTTTTTGTTTCTCACGTTCCATTTTCTCCAATCCCTCCCTTTAATATTTTGTTATAAGAAATATTCAAAACATTTTTTTCTTTTTTTTACCTAATCCAAGCAGGTAATGTCTTCCTTTTTGCTGCATCTAATGTGGGAAATTGCGTATCAACTGGAGCATTTACTGGTGTATCCATTAAAGAGGGTATTACTGTATTTTTGTTTATTTTATCACTACCAATTAATGGTGTGCTTATTTCAGGTATATGCAACGTAGGGGGCGGAAGATTTGTATTTAATATTCCGGATGTGTTCCATATATTCCAGGGTGTTGCTAAAAAAAAATGTAATTTTAAAGTAATTTTTGAAAACCCATGAATAAATTGCCACATATATTTACCAGGTATTGGCGCTGCGGGAACTTGTGGAGTCATTAATGACATAGGCATAGGACCTGATGATATTGACCATATTTGTGGTGTTGGTTGTGTAATGAAATTTTGGTTTAATGGCTCCATTTGGTCATCTTCAACATCCATATCTGCCTCCCCTTGCTCCTCATTGCTTTTTATAGAAATTTTAGGAGCGGGGGGAGCATCAGCGGGGCTTACTAAAGTATTATCATTCCGACCAGATGTTTCAAAACTCGGATTAATGTTTCGCTGATGGCTTATCCCTTTAATATCATGTTAATTTGTTTAGTTATTACAAAAATGCATTTTTTTCAAATACTTAATTAAATAAAAATTCTTACATTGCTGCGCTAGTAGTGCCCAGTCTAAGCTGTTATTTTGGGATTGAGCTTGGGCTAATGCATTAGCCCAATATAAATCATTACTAGGATTACTCCCAGAAAACATATTTTTAAAAAATATACTCTTTTAAGTTGCTATTTATAGTAAATATAATGCAATAAATTTTTCACTAATTTTTTCACTTTCTGAAGGTATAAGCTATAAAGTAATAAAGTATTAGCCAACCAAATGTCTTTATAAAAATGTTACCAAATATTATTATTAATTAGTCAACTTCTGCTATTATAACCAACGAGTACGTATACCAGATAACAGCGTTCCCACTTAGATAGATTTGTATAAAAATGTATACGTTTTACTTGTAGGCATTTTTGTCAATTTGGTTACAATTTCATATTTTTAAAAAATTTGTAAAATTTTTTTTTCCAAAGTGTCAATTTATAAAAGAATTTTGAAAATGATAGTACGTTACAATACCTGTTTTTTCTTAATTTTCAACTATTTGACAACTAGTCGAAGTGTTAAAGAATTAAAAACGTGAGAATATCTTGTTTTATTTATTTCATCAATATTTTCTGTTAATGAGATAAAATTTAAAATAGCCTTGTTAAAGTAATGAATAGTAAGCCTCAATTAAAAGTATCTTAAATGTTATGTCTTCACAACGGAACAATATATTTTAAAATTAATTTGACTTGCCAAAAAAGGATAAGATTTTACATATGCATAAGGACATGAAATTTTGGTACCAATGTTTCTAGTAATATTAATGTATGAACCTTGGCAGAACAAGAACATGAATGCCTGGTCTCCTTTTTTTTTTAATGTACAGGAGATTTATATTTTCATATTATTAGTAAGTAACACTGATTTACCCAAACTCCCTATCCGGAACTTTAAACGTTAATGCAAGTTTCTATATAATATTTGTCTTATTCCGTTTTTCCTCTAGGTGCCCTATTTATTATAAAATTTTGGAACGGCACATTTTTTATAATAATTATAAAATTTTAAAAGCTGTATTTTTTATTTATTCAGTGTATTATCATTTTTTGCTCTCAATTCTCTCAAATATGTTGCCTAATATGACGGTTCAAAAAAATGCGAAAAAAATTTGAAAATATATTTAATCAAAATTATAGTTAAAATTTCGATTTAAAATTTATATTTTTGATATGCTGCTCAGAAAACTTTAAATTTCACTTTAATATGAAAATTTTTTAGGTTTTGGTAAATCTTTTTTATAAAAATTTCATTTTCTATTTTTCAAGATACTGCCTGTCGTATTGTGCTGATTTTGACATTGTCATTTATTATTGGATTTTATTGCAGCAGCCTCATTGTGTTTTATAACGCATAGAAGCTAATATTTTTGCATTTTGAAGTGCATAAATTCCAACGAATTGTAATAAAATTTTTCGAAAATTTTGAAAAAAATTTGCGCCATATTGTTTTTAAAAAACTCACAGAAAATTTAGTGATAATCAGATTATTTTCTATTTTTTCATCAGATTTAATTCGATGTCAGGTTTCGATTGAATTTAAGATATAATCTGACGTGTAACAGGCATCCAAGTAGTAAAGGAAATAAAGAAGATTCTTATAACAAAAACAACATTGTGTAAACTCAGGAATTTTGTAGTCAGCAGATTTTGACATTTTAAATCGAAGTTTTTACTTTAACCACCAGGTAGCAGTACTTATCTAGAAAAAATTTCAAAACGGACATTTTGAAGAGATTTTTAACGTGAAACGGTCTAATAAATGATTCTTTTGAATTTTGTTTTATGATATATATGTAAATGTTTATTAAAATTTTATATTAAATTATTTTGTGTTGAGTGATGTCTTACAAAACAGTCATTGGTGAAATTAATAAAGAAAATGAATTTAATAAAAATAAGCCCAAAACTATCAAACCTGGTACAAATAAAATTATGCCAAGTTCAAATGTAAGTTTAATTAAAAATTACAATCAAAATTAACTATGTATATTATAAATATGAATTTTTGAAGTTTCAAAAACTAGCTGTAAAAACTGAAGGAAAACCGGACCCATTTAAGGCGCCGTTACCTGTTATGGTAACTAAAAAACCAACAAATATCACATCAATTCAAAAGAATGTGCCACAAAGAAAACCGACAATTGAAACTAAAACTGCAAAACCGGAACCCAACAATAATGCAAACAAATTACATATTAATAAAAAAGATAATGAAAAGACTGAAAAATGTAGTGAAAAGGTAGTTGATAAAGCGAATGAAGAAAAAACTGACAAAGTGGTTACAAAACCTGATCCAAAAAAAGAGGAACCAATAGGTATTTTACATAATAAGCAAATTTAGAAAGGCATTATCAATAAGTTTCCTTTTTTAGGAAATAAAACTAAAACTCAGTGGCACATTTCTAGTTTCGATATAGGTGCTAAATTGGGCAGAGGAAAGTTTGGTAATGTATACTCTGCTCGTGAAAAAGAAACACGTTTCGTAGTAGCATTAAAAGTACTTTATAAAAAGCAAATTCAAGAAACTAATGTCGAACACCAAGTTCGTAGGGAAATCGAAATTCAGTCTCATTTGAAGCACCCAAACATTTTAAGATTATTTGGCTACTTTCATGATGCAACTAGAATTTATCTTATATTAGAATATGCACCAAAGGGGACTTTGTATGATGCATTAAAGGAACAACCAGAAAAACGTTTTGATGAGAAAACAACAGCTGGTTATATAAATTCTTTATCATCTGCTCTATTATATTTGCATGAAAGAAATGTAATTCATAGAGATATCAAACCTGAAAATCTACTTCTTGGTCATAAAGGCGAATTAAAAATAGCTGATTTCGGTTGGTCAGTACATGAGCCACATTCGCAAAGAACAACATTGTGTGGTACTTTAGATTATTTGCCACCAGAAATGGTTAAAGGTATTCATTATTTGCAAAAATTATGTGTCAACAAATTTCACGTTCTATTTTTTTTTCAAGGTGAACCACATTCGAAAGCTGTGGATATTTGGAGCTTGGGTGTGCTTATGTACGAACTTTTAGTAGGACAGGCACCGTTTCTTGCTACTCAGCATGCTGTTACCTATAATTTGATAGTAAAAGTAAATTATAAATTGCCGACATTTGTATCGAAAGCAGCTGCACATCTAATTGAAAGACTGTTAGTTCAGGATCCAAATAGGAGAATGCCACTTGACAGAGTAATGGCACATCCATGGATAACAATGAATGTTATTAATTGAATTTACAAATATTCCAGATTGATAAAAAAACCATGTTTTATTGAATTTTAATTGATTGATTGATTATTTCCTACAAATTATATGATTATTACTTAACTATTAAAATAACTGTTTCATTTTGATTATGGCGTAAAGAGTTTTTGTACTTAAATTTTTATTTTATTAATAATTTAAGGAAGAATATTCTACTAAATCCAATATTAACAATAAAAATTTTACAAACAAAAATAGTTTTCTGTTTACAATTCAAATTTAAATCTGACACATTTTAAAACAAAGCTTTATTTTGCTTTTTTTAATGACAGTAAATGACATTGAAATGAAAAATAAATTTCTATTAAATTTCGTGAAATGCTAGAAGTTTGTGTGGATTCTTTAGAATCTGCTTTTGCGGCTGTTGAAGGCGGATGTTCTAGAATAGAATTATGCTCAGGTTTATATTAAATATTTTTAGGTCAAGTTAAATATACAAGATAAAATTTTTAGCTCTTAGTGAGGGTGGCTTAACACCAAGTCCAGGAGTGCTTAAGGTCTTAAAAAGCCAAACAAATATACCAATATTTTGTATGCTTCGACCTAGAGGGGGGTGGGACTTTCAGTATTCTGACGATGAGATTACTGCAATTTTACATGATATAGAAATATTAAGTTCATTGGGTGCAGATGGTTTTGTATTTGGTGCATTAGATAAACACGGAGAAGTAGAAGTTGAACAATGTAAAACAATTATCCGTAAATGCGGCAAAAATGTTTCAGTGACATTCCATAGGGCGTTTGATTTCACAAATCCAAAAAATATGATAACGAACTTGGAATTGCTTGAGAATTTAGGTTTCAGTAGAGTGTTAACAAGCGGTTTTGAAGAAACTGTAGAGCTTGGATTAGAAAATATAAAAGAAATGTCAACGTGGTCAAAAGACAAAAACCTTATTATATTACCAGGATCTGGAATCAATGAAAAAAATCTAGAAAAAATTTTGTTTCAAACAAATTTGACGGAGTTTCATTCTTCTGCAAAAAGGAAAAAAAGTCATTTGCATGGTACTCTTACTGGAAGTGGAATTAAATCTGAAAATCAAGATGTTTATGTAACAGATGCCACAATAGTACAAAAGTTAGTCAAAATAATTGACAATTTTAAAGTCCGCAATACTTTGTAAAATTCTCTATTCTGATACCTCAACATTTCTCAGAAGGGAACAGTGAAACAGATCGTGTTTTCCGGAAAAGAAAACAAAGCAAATTTGAAGTTTTTCTTTTTCTAAGGATTTAATTCATTTTATTTTCTTTAATGTTAATTTTTTTTATTAGTATAGTACTTTTATATTAATTTTCAAATAAGTAAATAAAAAAAAGGTTTCAATTCGTTTGCATAACTTTATGATCTTAGTTTGTTGCTGTCGTCTTGAATCTTTCAAGTCTTAGTCTAGCCTTCTCTGCGTAGTCAGGGTTATTTGTAATTACCTTATTTGTAGCATTTTTATCATCTGAAGCCAAACCAAACCGTTCCTTACGTTTTTGCAGTTTTTCTTCTTTTTCAATTGCGCTGATTTGCGGTGCTGTTATTATTCCAAAACGTTCAGCTCGCTTTTTTAAAGCTTCAATTGTTTTAGGATCGGACATATTGATTTTTTCATGATGAATTTTTTTATTTCCAAGCTCACTAAGTGACGGAATAGAAGATGAAACTCCGAATTTTTTCGCCCTCATTTCCATACGCTCTCTGGTCGTCAATTCTTTCACTTTTAAAGTTCGTTTTTCGTGTACTTGTGTGTTATTTTCATTATTGACTACGTCAGCTGTTATCTCAATTTTTGCTTCTTTTTCTGAAGGTTCTTCAGAAGTAGATTGGATTGTTTGATTTTCATCCGACGAAATATTTGATTCGGACAACGTGATAAGCTTTCGTTTTAGCACAACTGTTTTTTTTGGTTGATTATCACTTCCTTCTTTTTCTATTGTAGCTGTTGAGGATAATACGTTTTCATGTTTATTTTCAAGATTTGGAGTTGAGTTTTCTTCTGGAATTGGTGAAACAGGCACTTCTTCGTCAGTTAAACCATCTTCATCTAATAGAACGTCTTCTGATATTGCTGTATCCTCTAACGATAAATCGCCATCTAATAGAGCAGACTGTAATCGTTCTTGAAGTTCAGTTTTGTTCCCGGTTATAGATAAGCCTCGTAGTTTAAGTTCTCTCTTCAAATCAGCAACCTAAAATTTCAAATATTTGTCCCATTCAAATTCCATGAATTTATATGTATTTAATTTGATTTCGATAAAAGATGCTTGTTACCTTCATTTTTAGAACATCTGTTTCTGACATGGTGAAATTTATACAGATTATATTGATAATTGAATATCCTGTAATTTTCTTTTAGAAACTCTCAAATGATAATGTAATTAAAACTAAGTATCTTATTTTTGTAGATTACAAGTTTATTTATTTGATCTCGTGAAATATTTTTGGTGTTGTTAGTTTTTGTGTCAATAATTGTCAACTAATGTCAATAATTGTCAACTAATTTCACATCGAATAATTCCTATGCAATAAACATTACTATTGTGAATTGCAGGGGTGCCCAAATTAAAATTGAATTTATGGAGCCAAGATTTTGTAGAAACTGCATTTGCTACAAGATCTAGTTTAAAAATATTTGTGTTTCATATTAACTTTCTTTTAATCCTTCTATTACAAACCAAAGAAAAAAATATTATACAATAATTCTCAGAAGCAGTTGGCATGAAAATTTCATTTTCTTACATAAATAAATATTATACCATTCCACCCTTAAAATAGTTGTGGAAATTAAATATTTTAGACTAACTAAATTTAAAAGTGTCCCAATATAAATAAATTCATTATTTAGTTATAATTTAAAAAAAAATTTAAAACAAATTGAAGTTATGTACAATAAGGAGTCATTTGAAAATATGACGGCAAACTCATTTGAAATATGTATTACGATACTTTTGACATTTCATATTCAATATTCATTTCATGTACATATTTGCTTTCGTCTAATAGATGACGCGGTAGTGTTTAGTAAAATAAAAACCAAAATTTACTCAGCAACTTATCTTTTCCAAATGACAACCGTTGTATGTCATTCTGATTAGGAGGTTGTAAATTGCACGTTTTAGCAATTTTAGTGATTTATATTCTTTTTTTTTTAAATATAATTGTGAAAACATTGTTACTACAGAATCTGATCAGACAAAATGTCGTGGATATTTGGTAGATCTAAGCCTCAAGATACTGGAATGCCAATGGAAGGCGGTGAGCCTGGATCTGGGCCAACTGCAGGGACTATTTCAAATGATCAAGGTCTTACGAAAGCTGAGAAAAAAGCAATGGAAGCATATAGATTTGACTCCTCGGCTTTGGAAAGAGCTGCCGAAGCTGCAAAGACTTTAGAAAAATCAAGTAAGATATTAGTTAGCAACATACAATCTATAATTGCGTAATCCTTATTATTATGCGAAAATGAAATACACATTTGATTTTAGGACATGCAAAGGAAGCATTGGATTTATCTAAGATGCAAGAATCAACACGTCAATCAGAATATATGGCAAAAGTAAAAGAATATGAAGCGCATATAGAGCAGGCTAAGGTTGAGCAAAGACGTATAGATCATGAAGAACGAAGAAAAACATTAATAGTAAGGCTATATCAACCTATAAAATTACCAAATTCCTAGATAAATTGTAGTAATTTCAGGAAGAAACAAAGCAACAACAACAACGAGCACAATACCAAGATCAATTAGCGAGAAGACGTTATGATGACCAATTGGCTCAACAACAAAAAGCTCAAGAAGAAAACCTTAAAAAGTAACCATATTCTAGTATATATAATTTTTTATTCTAAAGCATAAATTTTCGTTAGACAAGAGGAAAGCGTCGCTAGGCAAGAGGCAATGAGAAGGCAAACAATAGAACATGAAATAGAAATGAAAGAAAAGAATCGTTTAAAAATTTTGGAGCACGAGTTAAGAGCAAAAGCAAAAATCGATAGAGAAAATCGTGATCTTACACTTGAACAAATTCGATTAAGAGCTCAAGAAAACAGAACCACAGTACTGGAAGGAATAAAGTAATTTTAAAAGTAGATAAATGGCTTTTAAAATATTTTAAAATATATAAATTTGTAGAACGGCTGGATCAGTTTTAGGTGCCGGAGCAGAAGCAATGCTAACTGATTGGGATAAAGTTCTAAAGGCTGTCGGAGGGCTTTCACTTCTTGCCTTGGGTATTTATTCGGCTAAAGGAGCAACTGGGGTTACAGCGCGTTATGTTGAGGCTAGAATAGGAAAACCTACTCTAGTGGGAGAAACCTCACGTTTTGCTCTTTTAGACGCTATTAAACATCCATTTCAATATTTGAAAAAATTGCGTTCAAAACCATCCGATGCTCTACAGGGAGTTATTCTTAATCCAAAACTAGAAGAACGTTTACGAGATATTGCCATAGCTACCAAAAATACAAGAATAAACCGTGGACTATATCGAAACATACTAATGTATGGTCCACCCGGTACTGGTAAAACTATGTTTTCAAAAAGATTAGCCAATCACTCAGGAATGGATTATGCTATAATGTCGGGTGGTGATGTTGCTCCAATGGGTAAAGATGCTGTAACAGCAATACATAAAGTATTTGATTGGGCTAAAACATCACGTAGAGGTTTAATTTTATTTGTTGATGAGGCAGACGCATTTTTAAGAAAGCGTTCTTCAGAACGTATTTCAGAAGAATTAAGATCAGCTCTGAATGCATTTTTATATCGTACCAGTGAACAAAATCCAAAGTTTATGTTAGTTTTAGCAAGTAATACTCCAGAACAATTTGATTATGCATTGAATGATCGACTGGATGAAATGGTTGAATTTACTTTACCTGGATTAGAAGAACGCGAAAGATTGGTTAGATTATATTTCGATAAATTTGTTTTACAACCTGCAACCGAGGGAGCAAAGTAATTTTTTTTTTGTTGAAATTTTAAAATATTAAAATTTATAAAAATATCCGTTTACAGGAGATTTAAATTAGAGCAGTTTGATTACGGTGCGACATGTAGTAAAATTGCCAAAATTTGTGAAGGCATGTCCGGTAGAGAAATTTCCAAGTTAGGAGTAAGCTGGCAAGCTTCCGTTTATGCTTCTGAAGATGGTATTTTAAGAGAAAAAATGGTTATTGATAGAGCATATGAGGCAGCTCATCAACATAAACAGAAGGTAATGTGCTTTAATTTTAAAATATATTTGTTATATATTAATATATACTCATAAATATTTATTTTTTAAAATAAATTTTAAGATGGCTTGGTTATCGGAAGAAGAAAGATTAGATCATAAGTCCATAACAGGTGGAATAGCAAAACCGTCAACGTGAAATTTGTGTGGCAAATAACGTAAAAAATTAACTGCCGTACCCATTCCTAATAAATAAATATGTCATTGAATTAAGAATAGAGATCACTTAAAAGAAACTTTTTATAATATTGTTTTTATACACAAACCAAAATTGATAGATAGAAAATATATTAAGTCATTAGTTTAGTTATATAATGAATAAAATATATTTACACGTAATAAATACAAACTTTAAGAAACGGATATATTTACGAATATAAATTTGTAAATAAGCTGATTCAATTTTAGAATTTTCTATTTGATCGAAACCAATAAGATAATTTGCTTAATGGTTACGCTTATTTTCAATATTTCTCACTTTTGTATTATTTGAGAAATATGATAGAAAAGTTAACTATATATTTTTAGAAAATGCCCACAGTTTTTTTACTGTTGCTGAAATTTCTCTAGCATATTAAAGCAATGAATTAAAATTATTTCAAAAGTAATTTAAAATAAACGAAATTTAAATAATTGTTTTTTAATGAAGAGCTCATTAAAATATTTCGAGCTAACTGAAAAACTAATGCCTTATATAATGTAAAATCATAAAAAAAAATTTATGTGGGCACTTTATAAAAATATTTATCTGTTAAGAAAGGAATACAGGCTTACTGTTTCGATTTACGTATTTTCTTGCATGTTAATTGATATCAAAAGACTGAATTTTTCTATTTCATACAGATAATATTGGGTTCAAGCAAATTTTATTCTAAAATTAATTATATGCTAATTTTAAAATTAATATATGGAATAATTCTAAAGTGATTATTTTCTCAAAGAAATTTATATTAAACTTCTAAAAATATCGCTTAAAAATAAAAATAAAGTAAACTATCATATACAATGTTATAAAAATATTTGGTTATTATTGAAATTTTTTTTTCCGGTAAATTAAAATTAACAATTATATATAATATTTTTTTAAAATTTAAAACTCATATGTTTTAATTTAATTTTGTTAAAAATTTTATTATTTGATAAAATGAAATGTGTAATAAAACAACAGTAGTAGTAATAATAATGGAGAGAATGTAGTTTTTAAATAATTAATGAAATGAAAATAGCATTAATATTTTATTATTTCCTTATCCTATAGCTATTTGGGTCTTTTGCCAAGATTTAATGTTTAAAGTAAAGCTCTTATTTTAATTTTAAAAATTTTATAAAAGCGTATATGTCTAGTTTAATTTTGTAAATTTGTTATGTTCTGAATATCCGACATATTTCAATTTTACAACTTGTATTTAAGAGAAACTTATAATTCCTTTAGAACTTTAGGAAAAAAGTGTCGATTTTCCAACATGCTATTTTTTTATATTTTGCTGTTAGGATTAATCGAACGTTCTTTATATTAAGGCTTAAGTTACAACTGAATTATTAAAATTCTCCAGTACATCTGTAATTTTTTCTTTTATTTTGTTTCTAGTTTTGTAACAGCAAGATATATCGGGGATACTGCATTTATAGATTTCATAATTTTAACTAAGTTTTATGCTAAGTTCCAAATTAGTAATGAACTACTTAAAATCACATTATTTTGTGGTATTCAAAAAATTTTCTTTTGTTAATTATTTTTTTTTTTGGAACAGCAAATCAATCCGACTGAATTTTATATTTCCGCCAGATATTTCAATAATAATAGTTCAAATAGCTTCTTTGAGAGAAGAGAAAGTTAATAGCGGATATCGTAAATTTGCAAATTAAAAAAATAAAACTTTTTCTTGAATTAATCTGAATATTGAAAAATTTTCAGCAAAATCTAATTTGCTAAATAAATTTTGATGAAAAGAAAAATTCTATGAATTTTTATTATCATAATAATTTTTACTGCGAATTGTTTTCTATATAAAAGTTCTTTCTTATGAATTTATGGAAATAAATAATTCTAATGAAATTGTTATTACAGTCTGTAGGTTATGGGTGTTTAATATTTTTAAAAATTTTTAATTTTCAAATAATAAAATTCTTCATGTCATAAATTATTCAAAATTTCAATGACTATGTATGACTAAATTATGTGGTTAAATTCGCATCTTACCCCACTCGGTTCTCTTGGAATCTACCAAATCTACATTGGCATAGGTGTGTTCACGTACATAATTTTATTTTTTATATATTTAATTGATGAATGCAGGTTGATTAGATAGACAGACATACATATATTGTGCATTTTAACAAGATCCTTAATACAAAAATTTTTATAGCGTTAAAAATATTCCATATTCTCGCTCAGAATTTTTGTTGTTCAATTTTCATTCAAAGTTGAAATTTAATTGAAAATTAAAATGGAGAAGACCTAGTAGGAATTGTTTATAATAAATATATGTAGCTGTTTCACATGCGTACCTATATATATGTATATGTGTAAGTATGGATTAAAAGTCTATATTAATCTGATGTATCTTATATTAACGTCAAAGTCAAAACAATTTCAATATTTCTTGGAAAGTTTTCAAATTTTCTAAACTTAGATTTATGATTGTCAGATCTTTAATATGTATGAATATAACATTTATATGTAAGTATATAACATGCGTGTATAACACACACATATGTACGTATGTATATGCTATATACATATATATCTGCAAATCATCCAAGCTTATATTTTAAATGAATGCAAATTTGATTTCAACTGAAATCATCAATAACAAATATTCTCAGATAAGATTTCAAAGAATAGGACTAAATAATATATACATATATATATATATATCTATACATTAAAAATTAAAAAATAATTAGAAGCAGAATCAATTTTGAAGTTATTTCTGTTGTTTTAAAAATTTTTATTTGAATTCTAAAAAGACCTACTGTTATAATGTTGCAATTAAAGTTTTGGGATCTATCTCAGAAATTATGGAAGATTTATCCGTTTTAAACTATAATAAGTAATAAGCAATGATCTGTGTTTCAATTTTATTTTTAATAATTTCAAACAAAAAAAAATATATTTTAATTTTTAATACTTATACTTGAAGGAATAACTTTAATAAAAGTGGAATGGTTGTTTCCGAAATTTTATAACACGTGTAGGTACATTTCTATATAAAATTGCAATTTTTCTGGAATAGTGCAAAATAAAATTCAAAAATGCTCTTTTAATAATACGAAAAAGATGCTTAAAACCCAAATAGTAGACATGCTTTTGCAAGTAAATTCTTCGTGTACCCAAATAATTTCGTAAATATATGAGCATATTTAAATGATGGGAATTTAGAGTAACGTAAACAGAATTCATAATTTATATGCCTACATACGAGTTATTTTAGTTTATAAATGTGTTGCATACATTTAGGCTCATCTTTCTTAGCACTATTTTTATGTCGTCAATATCGAAATGTAGAATGTTTTAAGAAATTTTTTTGTGATATTAGAATCTATTAGTGCTTTCACTATAAGCACAATTAATATCAATTACAAACAAAAGTTAATACGTGAACATATTTGCTTTAGAAGCTTTGGTTTCATTTCTTTTATTAGAAATTGAAAACTGCCTTAAGATTGAACACAGTTAATCGTGTCAATTCTGTGATACCCGCCCGAATCTTTTCTAGTTTCTCTTAACTTGTTAGTAGAATGCTATAGTCTAGGTATTATATATTTTTTTTGTTTGTTAGTAAAATTAAAGAACTGTAACCTTTAAAATTTTATAAAGTGTATATAAGGTTTTTAAGGTTTTTAAGGTGCACCGATGGTAAACACTTGCAAGTGCAGCTAGTTATCAAAATTTTTTATGCAAAATTTAAACTTTTTTGTAGTTTTTATGATATAAACTTAATGACTAAATTACTTTTTAAGCTATATGGTAGCTGTTAATAGAACTTGTAGGACCAGGATATCAAATTTGATTTAGATAGTATGGTTGATTATATATATATTTTTTTTAATACAAAATTTGAATACTCATACAGCTCATATAGTTTTCAAGACATGACGAAATTATTTTTGAAGTTTTATGGAACAGTTAAGGTATAAGAATTTATACAAGCCTGACTAAATTTTATCCGAGTAGAAGGCCCCATTACTCGTTTTTGAGTTGAGCTATTTAATTGGATGGAAACTATTGTTGTAACGTACATAATCATAACTAATTTATTCTTTCCCCTTCTATCAAAATTTTTAATTCAAAATTTAGTATCTCTACCTGTATATAGAAGCAAATCGAACCAATGCTTCAATCGAACCCAAATCCTCATTCATACGTATGTACGTCTCGTTAACGAGTTAAGTGATAGGGTCATTTTCCTAATATTCCTTTTTGTCTTGGAAAACATTCGTCCGGATATCTCAACAGAATTCGGATATCTTACAATTACAATACTTTTGAATGTGTGTATGTTTATACATCTTTTCTTGTTTAATATTATGTACGAATTATTCATATTTTTTTCAGACCATTGTTACTCATGTGTGCATATACCTAAGTACCTACATATGAATTTGAAGTCTAAAGAAATCCATTGTTAATTTTGGCTAATCTTTTACCATTTTTTCAATATTATTGAAGTTTTTTTCTTTCATTTTTAATAAAACAAAAAAAAAAATTAGAAAAATTCTTGGACAGTTTGCCTTCATCAAAAAATTCGGGCAATAAAAAAAAAAGCCGAAATTTATTTTGAATTTTTATCAATTTTCTTTCCTCCTTTATGGTCGGAGTAACATGCATAATTCTTTCGTATAATACATACATACATATTTAAATATTCAAAATGTGTTTATTTGTGTTGAACTTGCATCAGGCCGGTGCTCCTATTGTCTCATTTTAAAACTAAAATTTTTCTTTTTATCTTTCTTTGGCTGCTGATTTTTAGCAAAAAATTTATTTTTGTTTTTTTTTTTAATTTAATATTCTTAGAAATTAAAATAAGAAAATTGTATGTTTGTGTAAATGTACATGTGCACATATTCATATAATATATAAGTGACTAAGAGATTTTCAGGCCGTAAGTTATTTAGAATTAGAATTAAATGAACCAACAGATCGACTTGTACATTCATAAGTACATAGATACATATTTTACATATGTATGTACGAATATTATGCATTGTGTTCGAAATATATTCGATTTTTATACATAAAAGTATAAAAATTTTGCGGTCACAATTTTGCAGTTTAAATTGAATTTATAGCTCAATTTTGAGATTCAATATAATGTATGACATTCATATACGTACATATACATACATCCATACATAAATGAGCACGAAAAATGGATAAGAATGTAGGGATTGTTTTTCCAATAACACTTGCCCTAATATATTTATGTTAAATAAATATTTTTTCGAAGTAAATTGTAATTATTGGTCTTCATGGTCTTTAATTCCTCTGTTATATAATATAGCTTTTTTAATATTCTACATTGAAGTTGAGGTTTTAAGTGGAATTAATTTGAAATTAAAGAATTTAAAACAAAAAATTAAAAAATCAAGTAAAATATTCTGGAGTTAAGGAGGTAAGCAAGGGGTTAAAGAATCAATTGAAAATAGTTTTTGTTGTCAATTATTTAAATATACACATGTATATTTAAATTACATTAAATTATTACATACATATATAATGTATGTAACTACTTTAATATTTTAATAACTTTTGTCTTTATTTTGTAAATTACAAATTTTCAGTGTTAGCATAGATGGCAGCACGTTCCGATTAACATGAAAATGAATGAAAATTCAATATATCTATTTGACGATCAAAGGGAGTGACTTAATGAAAGAGGTGAGTGGGGAAAACAACTTTGTATATATTAAACAACCAAATTTACAAAGTTTTAAATATTTATACTACTTAAAGACGATCAATTTTGTCATGATTTAATCTGTGACAAAAAGAGTTTCCCATATACATAAGATTTTTATCAGAAATTTTTATTCAATTTTTTCCTATACCTCTTATTTGTA